CGAGTGACAATGGTTTGGCGTCTGGAGTGAAACAAATGCAACTATAGGCTTGGGAAGAGCGGATCCCGGAGGATGGGGGTTGGGTATGAGGGCATTGGAAGGAACCCCGTTCTGTGAAAAGGGTCTGCGTGTGCATGTGCGGTGTGTGTGTGTGGTGTGTGTGTGTGTGTGGTGTGTGTGTGTGTGGTGTGTGTGTGTGTGTGGTGTGTGTGTGTGGTGTGTGTGGTGCGTGTGTGTGTGGTGTGTGTGTGTGTGGTGTGTGTGGTGTGTGTGTGTGGTGTGTGTGTGGTGTGTGTGGTGCGTGTGTGTGTGGTGTGTGTGTGTGTCTGTGTCTGTGTCTCTGTCTGTGTCTGTGTCTGTGTCTGTGTTTGTGTCTGTGTGTGTGTGCTTGCGAGTGTGCGTGTGCGTGTGCGTTTGCGTGTGCGTGTGCGTGTGCGTGTGCGTGTGCGTGTGCGTGTGCGTGTGCGTGTCTGCGTGTGCGTGTGTGCGTGTGCGTGTGCGTGTGCGTGTGCGTGTGCGTGTGCGTGTGCGTGTGTGTGTGTGTGTGTGTGTGTGTGTGTGTGTGTGGTGTGTGTGTGTGTGTGTGTGTGTGTGTGTGTGTGTGTGTGTGTGTGGTGCGTGTGTGTGTGGTGTGTGTGTGTGTGTGTCTGTGTCTGTGTCTCTGTCTGTGTCTGTGTCTGTGTCTGTGTTTGTGTCTGTGTGTGTGTGCTTGCGCGTGTGCGTGTGCGTGTGCGTTTGCGTGTGCGTGTCTGCGTGTGCGTGCGTCTGTGTCTGTGTCTGGGTCTGTGTCTGTGTCTGTGTCTGTGTCTGTGTCTGTGTCTGTGTGTGTGTGTGCGTGTGCGTGTGCGTGTGCGTGTGCGTGTGCGTGTGCGTGTGCGTGTGCGTGTCTGCGTCTGCGTGCGCGTGCGCGTGTGCGTGTGCGTGTGCGTGTGCGTGTGCGTGTGCGTGTGCGTGTGCGTGTGTGTGTGTGTGGGGGTGCGTGCGTGCGTGCGTGCGTGCGTGCGTGCGTGCGTGCGTGCGTGCGTGGGTGGGTGGGTGTGTGTGTGTGTGTGTGTGTGTGTCTGCGTGTGCGTGTGCGTGTGCGTGTGCGTGTGCGTGTGCGCGTGCGCGTGCGCGTGCGCGTGCGCGTGCGCGTGCGCGTGCGCGTACGTGTGCGTGTGCGTGTGCGTGTGCGCGTGCGTGTGCGTGTGCGTGTGCGTGTGCGTGTGCGTGTGTGTGTGTGTGTGTGTGTGTGTGTGTGTGTGTGTGTGTGTGTGTGTCTGTGTGTGTGCGCGTGTCTGTGTGTGTGTGTGTGCGTGTTTGTGTGTGTGTGTGTGGGGGGGGGGGGTGCGTGCCTGCGTGCGTGCCTGCGTGCGTGCCTGCGGGGGTGGCGGGCGCGCGTGCGCTTGCGCGTGCGCGTGCGCGTGTGTGTGTGTGTGTGGTGAAAGGGGTGTGTGTGTGTGTGTGGTGTGTGTGTGTGTGTTTTGTGCGTGTGGTGTGCGTGTGGTGCGCGCGTTGTGCGCGTGTGGTGTGTGCGTGTGTGCGTGTGTGCGTGCGTGCGTGTGCGCGTGTGTGTGCGTGTGTGCGTGCGTGTGTGTGTGTGTGTGCGTTTGCGTGCGTGTTCGTGAGTGCGCGCGTGTGTGCTTGTGGTTGTGTTTGTGTTGTGTTCCTCAGAGAGCCAGGATTACGGCCAGTTGAACGGCCATACAAGAGTGGCCGAAGGGTTGGCTGGGCCACTCGAGGCGAGCTTAGTGACATTCGTGGCGATCCTGCGAGAGCCTCTTTGCCACGCCCTGCCCTGCGAGCAGCAGAAGCCTATGGTTTAGAGGACTGCGTTGAAGAGCGGGCGTGGGTGGTGAGACATGAAAACCAATTGGTTTCTGCCACGTGCTTGGTCCAACGCATCCCTGGAACGAGACCGAACAGGACGGAATCCCCTGGAAACGCGACCATTGGGCCTCTGGCTTTGGTTTTTTTCTGTCAAGACGACGCCGGTCTTCGCACGCCCACTGAGCTAAACCCTTGCAGACGGGCATTTGTCAGGAAGCCCCTTCCATTTGACGGACAGCTTGCTGAAAGGCAACATCTAGCAAAGAATCAACCGGCAAGAGGAGAAGGCAAACATGGTCAAAGATTCACACACACGCATTCTTTGCGCAGAAACATGATTGTGATTATGCTAAAGCTGAAGAGGGAACTATGATGTTCATGGGTCCACGTCAGTCTGTTTTGTAGGGATGCTGGCACCCAATTCTGGCACCCACTCGCTATGTGCTATATATAGTTCGCAAGCGGGCAGTGTTGGCCAACTATTAAGCTCGCTTCGCCCAAACAGTCACGTGAGTCCATAACATTGGTGCCTCGGATGCTACTTAGAGCTGCACTCTGGAGATGATTACATGGATGGATGGATGGATGGAATATATAGTGAGGAGATGATCGGCTTTCAGAGTGGCGCAAATATCAATCAAATCTGGCTGTGAAACGCTTCGCGTTGCCCTCCTCGGCCAGTATGGCTTTGTGGATCTGACCGGGGCATCTTGGGGGGAGTTTGACCGGCTTCGCGGCTTCTAGGGGAGATTGGGACCGGCGGCTGCCAGAGCCAAGCCCTCCGCCGCCATGATGTGACCAGCCACGCTCTGATCGCGCGAGAAGCCTCCAGCGAGGCCTCGCCCACTCCCTTGCATTCTGCGAGCTGGCGCTCCGCCCCCCCCCCAGAGCGGCCAAGGCCGAAGGAAGGACGCGGGCGACGCCACGTCCTCTTGCAGCGATCCCGTTCGCGCGTATGCCCGAAAAACTACAACCAACGAGCTGCAGACAACTCCGCCGCTTACAACAACGGTTTGCAACGCAACTCGTTTGGTGGCGCGCCCCCCTTGGGCCCTTGTCGGTCGAGCGCTCAAAATCAAACCTAGAGTTGATTTTTCTGCCGCCCCGCCCGATTTCTAGTGGGGAATATGATAACCCTGGTTTCTAGGGCAGATTTGATTGGTTTCTAAGGCAAATTTGACCGGTTTCTGCTTGGGATTGGACAAGTTTCTTCTGCGGGGATTTGACCGGTTTCTAAGTTTTAGGCCTTTCGCAGTGCGGTTCCACCCCAATCCAAACCACCAAGAAAACGAGGGCGTGTCCCGCTCGGAGGACCTGGTATTGGGGTCCGACTGGCCAAAACATCGTGCACGGCGGTCTTTTGCTTCATCTGAATCGCGAGTGGCCAGAAAACCCCGTGCAGATTTCTCGCGCGGCCAGTTACTCTTCTGAGAAAGAACACCTACTGCTCTCAGTTGGCCGCACATGCCAAGCCCGGCGTGTGTCTTGCATGGGGCTGGTGTATTGCCTACATGCTTGCATGACATTCGCAGACTTGGATGCGATTCAGCCGGAGAAAGTGCAAGCTGTGTGTCGAAATCTGAGATCTCCTTGCATTGCACTGATTTTTATCTGAGAGGATCAGGGGCATGTTCCTTTGTGGCTATTTGGTTGGATCCTTGGACTTTTTGTTTTGTGTTGAAACAGTGTGGGTTTTGCAAGTGTTTTTTCAGAGGGGTCAACAGCAACCAAGGTTCATTCAAAGAGTAATGGAGACTTCAGGAATATAGTACACCTTCAAAGTAAGGCGTGCTGAACTGGGCGATCCCTCCTTTGGCACTGCTTGACAGGGGCTTCAGCTGGACCTCGGCTAGTTTGTCCCTTTTGTTGGCCTAGTTGGAATCTCAGAGCCCAGGTCATGATGTTGACAGGCCCAAGGGGTATCTGCCAGCTTCTGTGGATTGGTTTCTCGCATTATGCTTCTTGATGCAGTGCCAAGATGCTAACGCTTTGCTCCACTACCATTTCCTGCCGTAATTGTGCAGAGAAGATGCTCGGAGACACAGCTCACGGCAATGGTCAAAGGAATGTCAAGCCTTGCAATTGGTTCAGTGGCAGTTGGACCAATGAGTTGCCTTCTTGAAACGTGTGTTCGAACACCTTGGCATAAGACTCAGCGCTGAAATGCGCTGGATCTTGCTCAGATAGACGAAGGGGGTACTCGCACACTACGACCACCTCTCGCAGAACCCTGGATCTCTCGCGGAACCCATCCACTACTGAATGTAGTTTCGAGAGAGGGTGTGTGTGTGTGTGCTGCCCGCCGTTTTGTCCCAGGACCGCTGGCTAATTTGAAAAATCGGATGCCATGCAGATGCTTTTCAGAAGGTCGTGACCCGCGTGCATTGCTTTGAGTCCAACGATGTACCGCACCGTTTTGCCGTCCGATGCCTATGAGTGTTGGGGCATACATACATTATGTTGGACTGTTGGCATTTAGTTTGCTATATTACACTATATATATATGTATACATATATATATATACATATATGTATATATATATATATGTATGTATATATATATATGCATATATATATATATGCATATTATATACGTATATATCGCGAACAAAGGTAGTTTAGTGTGGTGCTTGTATTTGCATGCACTTTCCACAGGGCGCTGGTTGTCGGAAATATGATGCCGACCTGAGTTGGAGTCCCAGTCGTTGGTTCAAATGCAAGAGCGGCTTTGATCAAGCCCGACCTTTCAGGATGTGGAAGTAAGCCTCAACCATACAGTGGATGGACGAAATCCTGCAGCAGGTAGGATGGACGACACCCCAAGAATACTGGAGGGGGGAAACCACCTACCAACTGGTTTCGGATTTATTCCCATCTACAGTACTGCAGGATGGTGCAACATGCTCATCTTACACCTGCTGGATGGTCGCACGCCCATTCTAAGATGGTTTCTTTTAATGGGAAAGAACAGCCACTAGCTACCATATAGCGGCCATATATCCCAATTTGTCCCTGCATTAGTGGTTTGGGGTAGTGGAACCCCTTTGAGTCACAATCAAAAAGGGACAATCCCAGCCATAAATGGGTGCGGCCGCCTTCTTAATTCTTTACATGGTTCTGGGGATCGCCCATTTGAATACCGGGTTTTGATTACACCCCATTTTGGATGGATCTTTTCAGACGTCAGGCAGCCCCCCGCCAGCGTGGCCGACATCTGGCTGCCTCGCCGCAGCCTTAATTTGTCAGACACGTCTTGGATTGTTTAAGGCAACCAGAAGCAACACCATCCATTTTCTGGGTCCCCAGTCGAGTCTGTCTTTTTAGGGAACCCTCTTCTTGTTGTTATTCAAGGGAAACCAAAAGGAGGGACCCCCGTTTGAGGGGGCCATAAAGAAGAAGACGCCCCAGATTCTGTTTTGTGAAGACTGTTCATTCATGTTCATGCCTCAGCCGGCCCTTTGCCTCTCGCTGCTGCACCGCCGACTGGAAGTTATTGAAATTGCTATCTTTGCAGCTGTTACTTCAAGTGTCCACACCTGCAAAGCTCAATGCTTCTGGTTTTTGCCTTCTAGTTAAATTGTTGATCTGAAGAAAATGACAAATTTTCGAGTGTATCTTCATTGCCTTGTGACTGAATGAGTTGCTTTCCGGCATGCAACCTGTTTTGCCGCAACGAGAGACTTCGAAGCCCGAAACCTGGAATCTGCAAGCATGGAGCAACTGTACAGCCTTTTTTTTTCGCTGTGTCCCCTTGAGAAAGTGCTGCTGATGTCCTCTAACATCTCCCAATGGTGGATTTTCCTACAGGAAAACGGCAGCCACGTCACTGCATAGACGTGCGGAGCTTCCCGAGGACCTGCAGCCAGCGTCTCAGTGGAACATGTCACGCCCAGCTGTGTTTTAGCACCAGTTGGGGCTCCCCAACTGTATGAATTGGACCCGTATCCCACCGTCGTTGCAGGACACGCCTGCAACAGATTTGCCAGGCCTGAAGCAAGGGATCCCAAGTAAGGCCCAAAACGAAGGACGTGATACTCAGATAGCTGGAGGCCGCTCCCAGCTAGACATGGTTTGCCCTTTCTTGTGTCAGCGGCAGGTTTGCAAGGAATGGACGCCATTATTTGGGTGGCTCCTCTTTTCTTGTCTTGGTACCCCTGTTTGAAGGGTGTTTTTATAGGGAAACCAAAGGGAACAACAACCATTTGTTGGGGTCTACTAAAGAAAGGCTGACCCATTTCAAAGGTTCACTTTCAGCTGCGCACAAGGGCAAGACGAGACAGTGGTTGATGTAGCGCCCATGTCCTGAATATCTGCCTTTGGATCTGACTCAAGCCTGCCTTGAAGCCACAGATTCCGTGAAGGCTTGCAAAGAGGATCAGCTTATGCTATGTGCCATTCTTATATGGTTTGGTCCGCGGAAACTGGGGAATTTGTAGCAGTGAAAGAATGTTTTGTCGGCACTGCTCCAAGCGGTTTCGTTCAATAAGTAGTTTCGTCATTGAGCCACAAGCTTTGATGCCTCCAATTGTTTTTGGTGAGCGTTGCGTGTAGGGCTGTCTCCTTCTAGAGCCACTCAGGTTGTGAGTTTCTGATGTTTACATTTGAAGGTGGGTCGACTTGTTGCTCATCCGTTGCCTTGGGATGGCTCCTCCACGCAACTGGCATGAGCAGAGTCGCGACATGAGGTCGTACCAACCTACCTATGCGCTCGACAAGCTTGCAGGACGATCGCTTGTCCCAGTGATGCATGCGCATGTGATAGGCTCCCCCCACCCCATTGCAGCGTCCGAGGAAAAGAGCAAAAGTTTGGCTCTGCACAGCCGCAGTTCTTGCCCGTGATGGCAATATTCAACTGGGCTTGTCCAGAACTGGGTCAAAAGGATGAGAGGAAGGGCCCTGACAATGCACAACCTTTTGAGCACTCAATCGGCTTGTTTGTTGTTGCGGATGAGGCATTATGTAGTTTAACCAATTTTGGCCTCGAGCTGATGGCATCAGGAAAAAACCGGGGCCAGGGGCAGATATGATTTTCCCATGTGGATTGCATAGATCAGGCAATCAAACAAGCAGGGATGCGGGGGAAGCAGGGATGTGGGAAGAATTGTTGCTTCATTGTTCGACATCCTTTATAGGGAATCCTCGGACATTCCTGCTTCCCCGCGGAACCCTTCCCCAGCGAATCTGCAGAGGCATTGCGTTTTGGCCCCCAGGATCACCCGAGGCTTTCCCCTTGGCCCCGCTGACGCTGAGCGCAGGTCTCCCAGCAAACCTCAGGGCAAAACGTTTTGCCAGCGTGGCAGCCCCAACAGTGTTCCCCCCATGTTGATCGAAGAAAAGCAAAATTGCTGGTGCGATAGGCAGGGAAGGAGAAATGGAATGACCCCTATAAACCATCCCTTGTGGTTTCCTTTATGGGGACTGCTGGGTTCATTCCCTCATTCCTTTCTGAGCACCAGCAAGCGATCGTGACTGACTTGTCTACCAGCAATCGACTGACCGCCATGACCTTAAGAGCTACAGTAGTCAAGCGGAAGACAACCAGAGAGAGGGCCCCAGCTGGTTTCCAACTTGGGTGCATTCTTGCTTGCCGTTCTTCGCATCTGCAGAACTGGTGGGTGTTAGCTTGAAATCGTATGGCACCAGTTTTTGGAGGGGTTCCTCCATGTCTGTTTGGAACCACCAAAAGTGGCACTTTCAATGGACACCACAAGTCAAATTGATTGGCTACTGAAGGCAAAATCCGGCAACCCCTGTGTTTGTTAGGTTCGTTGTTAGTGGATGCCAAACCATGATACTCCGAGTTAAACAATCATGGAGCAACTGTGATGAATCTTTGGCGCCCACCAGTAGATTGATCAACGTTCGTTTTTCGGGAAATCCAGTGCCCCCTGTTTATCCACCCGACTCCACCGGACTCGAACGCACGGCCTCAGGTGAAGCCCAAAGAGCACCTTGCGCTGGTGGGCACATCGGGGGTGCACCTATGCGCGCTTGCCGACACTTTTTCGCTGTGTTTGCCTGTCCCCTTTGTCTTGGTTCAACCATCAAGTTGAAACCAAGTTAAATTGCAGTGAGCTTCCTTTTGGCGGGGCGATGTTGAAGGAGGAAATGTAGGGAAGCCTGTCCGACTGTAGGATATGTTTGTCAACACCGTTGCCGTTTGCTTTCGGCGTGGACTATGGCACTCGGACATTTCTCTTTTTTGGTTAGGGTTGCCTTGGTCTAGTTGGGAGTTGTCGCAAGTTCCAAAGACAAAGAAGTGTACATGCCGGATTGAAAAGGTTAAGCAATCTTACACAAAGGACTGACTTGCCGTATTACGTGCTTGGCGGTAGTGACTTCGATCATGGTTTCCTGTCAAACAGAGCATGATGTCTGTTGAGACTCGTTGATCAATGGTCCTCCCATTGGAGAGCACCTCATGGCCACGACCCTAAAATTGAGCCCTGGTTACCCACTATATCGCGCTGGTTTCGTAACCAAAGTTTCTGGATGACGTATTTAATACGATCAAGACACTTTTCTTGGGATCCCTTATATCAACTTGGTAAATCTCGACTTGCTCCGCGAGGTCTGCAGGCTCTGGCGAGGTGTCGCTCAATGCCACGAGTTGTGTACTTTCAAAAGCAAGACAGATTCCAGGGGTAGCAAGATCCGGTGGTTGTACACGTTCTGCTCGTGTTAGCCTTCAAAGAGAAGTAATTTCTAGAGCTCCCAATAAAGTCCTCAACTTTGAACAGGACATTTGGTCAAATGGTTCACGGCTTGCATTTGGCGATTTCATGCGGAAGCCATGGAATTGTGGTCCGATCCCTTTGCAACTTAATTATAGGCTCGTAGTCAAGTAGAGTGGGGGTATTAGGGTACTTTGAAGCCAATTCAAGTCGTCAAAACTAGACGAAAAGATTAAGATGGGAAACTAGGATAACTGGTGCATATTGAGATGAATTAGATAGGGAACGAGGTTCGTTTTCGTTTAGCTCATGTCACATTGGCTGAAACCGGTTGCCCAAACGGCAGGCCGGGAAGACCTCGCTGCTGGCGGGGATCTCGCGGCTGCTGGCCGTCGGCGGCGGCAAGCTGATTTTGGACGGCTGGGAGGCGCCTAGAGCTGGAGTCCTACCCCAGTGCATCTAGGTCGTCCTTTTACCCTTGGGGGAGGGTTCCTGAAATAGACTACCGAAAAACGGGTACCCTTATTCTAACCTCACCTAGGTATTAAGATGGCCACGGGGCATATGGCTCCATTTTGGGGTGGATGAACATCCATTTGCCACCTATTTTGACGTTCAACCCATAGCCATATTTATCAATCTCAGTGTAGTATTAAGGGGGTGTCGACCTGGGTTTAGTGGGGAATCAGACCAATGTTGGTGTTCCCCCCTATTAACAAACTGGGGTTGATGAATGTGGGGTCAACATTGGGTCGGAAGTCTACAAACGGTTTGGATGTGGCGAATCTGTGGATGCACCCCTGGATACTAAAAGAGGAGTAAAAGATTGCCAGAAAACGGACCAACAGGCGGAACAAAAGGTGAAATCCACAAAAGCGCATCCAAACCGTTTTCTAGAAGAATAGGGATTTGGACGCCGACATGGGCAGTGTCTTTGGGGTTCCCTTGCAATCACAAATTGAGAAACACAAGCCCTACAGTTATTTGGATTGTATCTAGAGGCTTCCTAAACGGGGGATTCTGAAACGGGTCTAAATTGGCAAAACATCACCACTTTTGGGTCCTTAAATGGGTGTTTGTGGGGAGTTTCCCTGATATCCAATGCTGTCAGGCAAGCAGATTTTACACGATTTTACAGCTTGACGTCTCAGGCGGCCTTGCTTTGTTGGATTGGCGCGCGAGTGTGCTTCTGGCCAGTCCTGCCAAAAGCTTGGAACCAACTCTTTGGACTGGATCCATGGAAACAACACCTTGCAACCAGCTCATTTCTTCGCTGAGTTTCTGGGAGGTGTCCCTTTGATCGGTAGTTTGGTTAATAGATGGGCTCCACTGGTTTCGATGGGTTTTATGCCCCATTTGTCAGGCTCATAAATGTTTCCCAAAGATCACTTCTGTTCCTGGGTGTTTGTTTTTAGCGCTACTTTTTGGCAAGAACCGTTTTGTGGAGGCACCATTGTTGGGATTGCCATTCTAGTGGCAACACACAAAATACCGACTTGCTGGGCATTTGGGTATGTCAAAGGGGTGCCCCAACATGGGCACCTTTTGGGTTCCCTTTGAACTAGGGTGAAAAGGGTGCCCTGAAAAAACACCCACGCCTTGCTGTTGGCAGGTGCTTGTATCTCCACGTTCCATGGGAAAAAAAGAAGAACAAAAACTGGGGGTTCCCCCAAGCGTACTTGGGCCTAGTTGGCCACCACACCAATTGCTGCCATACAGATGTGTATATTACATATATATATATATATACATATGTATATATACATATACATACTTGCATGACAAACCTTTGGAAGAGATTTCAACCCTTTTACCAAAGCGTTTCCCATGGAAAAACGCCTTGGGAACTCACTTCCTGACTTTTTGGACTTTAAGCTGTTTGGGTTTGGACCATTTTGGGGGTAAACATCAATTTCCAGGTTGGTTTTGGCCAATCAATTCGCTCGGAAGTGGGCCTGGGTCAAAATTAAGCCACCAGGGGACCGCAATTGTTTAGTCCTTGGTTCCATTTACCAGGGTTTTCCACTTGGGGCACTTTTTTTTACCCACACTCAAGTGAGCACAACATATATATATATATATACATTCTGGGAGTAACATTGGGCCCTGTTTTCAACGGTCCGTTTTGGACTCCCAAATTTACCGCTTTCACGTTTCGGCCGGCAAAAAGGCCCAAGCCATTGGAGGGGAGCCCAGGGAACGCCGTCCGTTGCCGCAGGCGCGCTGTGTGGCTCTGGGAAGGTGGCGTGGGGCGCTGCTGTGCCTCCCGCAACAGCGCCCTGGCTGAGGATCTTCCTGGTGCTCAGAGAATGAGAAATGGAATTCACCCGGGGATTACCTTAAAGGAAACCACAGGGGATGGTTTGTAGGGAGCATTCCATTTGTGATTCCTTGCTGAGCACCAGCAAGTCTTTGGTTTTCTTCGCTCTCCTTTAGCTTCCGGTGGTTTTGTTTGCTGGTGCGAGCGGTAGCTGCTGAGAACCAGCAAGTGTGCTTGCTTTCCTTTGATGTTTCCGGTGCTTTGCTTTGGTTTCACATGGCATTCAATCATTCAGGTGTTCACAAGGTTTTTGTTTTACTTCTTGGATGGCTAAAGTAATCTATGTAACAATAGGGTCGCCTTCTTGGAAGTCAAGATAGCGATGGCAACGTTTGCAGGCAATGTATATACATATAATATGTAAGAGACAGTTTCGTGATTCCCGCGCTGCCTGGGGAGACTGTTTTACAGTTTGCAATTCATGTTTGTTCTAGAGACCAGCTGAATTGACTGCACAACTAGATTCCAATACGAACAATTGCCCAGCAAGAGTTGAAGTCGCTTGCATTGGGCGTCGGCGTTTACCTCAGGATTGTAGTTTGTTTCCTGTGTGTCGTTTGAGTGGCATGCTACTTGGACCTGGACGATTAAGATCGTGTTTGGGAGTTAGTATCGTCGGCTGTTTAGGCTTGTTGCTTCGGCTTTATGTGTGCGGTGTTTGCCAAACTGCACATACAGGCTCGACTTGCACATTTGCTATGTGCAAGGTCTGGCTTGCTCCTGTTTGGCCTTGTTTTTGTTTCTATTTGGCTTTCTAGCGCGGGTTGCCTATATGTCGCCTGTATTTGAATTCAACAAACATTGGTCGGTCTTCAAGTAGGATCCTTTGAACGCCCTTTTGTTTGGTTTGCCTGTTTTTGCAGTTGAGAATGGCTTGGTCAGTCACAGATATTTTCCCTTGCTACTTGGAAAGCCCGCCTCAACGGCATACGCCGCATAGTGCCTCGCTCGGTTGCTCGGTCGGAGGCCGCTCCTCTTGGCGGGCAGTGTGCGCCACAACTTGGACCCTGAGGTCGGAAGCGAGGGAATCCATGGCAGAAATTCATGGGATGACTACCTGGAGTCTCCAGGGGAAAATGGGGCGACTTCATTATTTTTAACTCACCTCCTGAGTTCCTGGACTTTAGCCACTTTGGGCTTGGACCATTTTGGTGGTAAATATAAATAAGCAGATCTGACTTGTGTTCCAATCCCAGGAAGTGCGTCGAGGTCGTGACCACATGTTTTCAGGGCCCAGATAAACCAAGTCACCCAAAGGGGACTCATTTTGGTCTAGTCATCTCCACCCAAAGGCGCTGTCGAACCGGGGAACAAGCAGAAGCCAACGATTGGACGTCCGGTACATACCTTCCCTTCTTGGAAGAGCCTTTGGCCCTTCCAAACGTGTAGGTTTGTTTATGGGGGTATGACGGATGTTTTTCAAGGGTAGCAAAAGCACCGCTCTGAGACATGCGGCCGGTTGGCCAGTCAATTCTAAAGTTCTAACAAGAAGTCAAGTGGATCTGCGGCAGGACGTGGTTTCAGCAGACGGATCGATTTCTGTGCCCTGCCCCATTTAAACCATGTCTAATCCAATGCGTGGCCCTTTTTTGGGGCTCTCCCAAATCCAAGAAGGACAATCTCTCACTTGCTAGATGGTCTTGGTGTTGTAGGTGGCAAAGCTCCAACGTTAACATCACCATAGCGTGAGTCGGACGCAGAATTGTCCTGTTTGTTTTGAGTTGCGACTTGTAGGACACCCAAATGAGTATTCGCAATAGACAACCCGACACAGGCATTTACACAGTTGTTACTGTTTTAATGCTTGTCTCCGGTGGACATGTTCACTTTTGAATCCTTACGTTCAGAGTTGTCAAAAGTAGCTTCCTTGCCTTTAGCCGCGTCTGGTCTGAGCGATCTGTTCTCTGAACGGCCACATGTGACAGCAACAGACGCTCCAGCGCAGGGCATTGAGTCGGACGCTTCCTTGTGGGAGGCGTGGGGCGGGAGGGGGTGGGGCGGGAGGGGGCATTCGCAGTAAGCGTCTTACTCAGAACAAGCAGGCCCGGAACGGAAGAGAATACAACTGTAACAGGAGTCGACTGATGACAAAGGCTATCCTCGCCAACAAAGACTCTTTCACTCAGCAAGGCTCATTGGGATCCCCGTTTATCATGGTCGCCGCACGAACTGCATGTTGAAACGTATGTCGGCGCTTCTTCTCAAGCGCGCGGTGTACGCTGGGTCAGGTGATCGCGCATTGCACGGTTGGTTTTGAAAGGAATCCACGAATACTGAAAATATGTTGTTACGGGCGGCTTAGAAATTGGAGGAGTGTGTTGCTGGCGGCTGGCACCTCTTGGCTTTTTTCAGAAGGTTATGTTGCTATTTGCTGCAGATTTATGGCCCCATCTTGATGAAAAACGAGGTGACCATGATGAAGGCCCTTGATTTTGGAATCCCTGATCTCAGGCTTTGGACATGTTAGACTTGGCTTATATATATATATATAGGCATCATGCACGAAACTGAGGAACAACAAAGATACAAGGGAGTCACCGGGGAGGGGCGGGAGAGGCTTCAATTATATTGAGATATTGTCTCCTTTCGCAGCAGCAGACGCTGGAGAATCTCGAGGGATCTGATTTCTTGGCAAGCGGCCCGAAACCCAGCAGACCTTGACATGTTTGGTATGTTTGGTATAGGTTCCAATGCTGTCAAGAGTCCTTGAGTCCCCACCCGCGCATGACACTTGGAGATGAACTCTCCTTTTGCAAGGTAGCGCGCATCTTGGCATGTGCTTGGCACGACACTTATATTCAGGGCCTCTCTGGTAGAAGTGGTGGCAAATCATCTTTGTGATCTCGCAGCCTCAGGTCTTGGCATGTTCAAACCAAGTGCATTTGGGATGTTCCGCCAGAAGCTTTTCATCAAATTTCCAAAGGCCACAGGCATCGGGTAGGGAAGCGAGATCAACTGTGGCTTTGCCTTGTACGTCTCACGAAGCTGACAATGCAGGGCTTGAGCAGCTTGAAAGGACACCGGAAACCATCGGTTCTCATATCCTTTTTGGTAGTTTTGGTAGGAAACTGATTGCCCTAATTGACCTGCTTGTTTCATATTCTACGAGGCCCATCCTTTTCTCAACCAAAAGGACGGACTGAAGCTCGACTCGGAGCCAGAGCCACCGCAGGCATTGCGACTGGTAGGCCTTGACTCACGCGTGCGACTCCGGGAGGCGGGCATTGCGCGGGACTCCGTGGGAGTTGGGAGGGTCTTGGCTCAGCTTGGGGGCGACACCAAGCGTGTGACCTCGAGGGCCGGTGATTGCAACATTGCCTTCTTTGGATACAGATCTGCTCCAGCACTTGACCCAAGAACTTGAAACATGTTAGGTACAGGAGCATGACTGTTAAGGATTTGGTAGGCAGTATTCTATGCCACAATGACAGACAGAAATGGATGGTGTGGCCAATTGTGTGAGATGAGAGGAACTTCTTCGTGAGGACAAAAAGGTGGCGGTGTCGGCAGACTTTTCTAGATGGATATGTTTGGAAAAGTGTGTGTAGGTTGACTGCAATTTCCCGCATTCCGCCAGGCGGCATCGCCCCAAGTGCACTCGACGGAAGGCTGGCTTCGCGGGAACGGGCAGTGATGCTTCCAATATAGGTGTTCTTAAGGATAGTTTGGTTAGAACTAGATGGCACTCGTTCAGATGGTTTTCTTCCAGGGCCATCTATCTTTCCAAAAGCTGAAGTCGTCGCGCTCGCGTGTTTGGCGTGTGTTGCGACTCGATCGGGCTCTCGCTCCGCCAGCTTCCGACAACGAGGAGCGGGGCGAGATCTGCTGGGGGTGGGGCGCCTAGTGTCGCAAAGGCGGGCGGATGTGATGATCCCTTGGGGCGGTGGTTCCAGTTGTTTTTTAGTTGTTTTTTTGTTTTTTTTGACAGGAAGTCAAATATACATGTATAAATCAATATATATATATATATATATAATAGAATTACACAAATCATGTAAAGGTTCCTAGTTTTGATGCACGGCCAACTGATGTTTACTGGCATGGGTTTACTTGATCCACCGCTGCAAGTAACCAACCCGATGAGGAGTTCGCTTTTGACTATGCCATGTTCAAACTCTATTGCAGCACACCTGGCAGGGGGATTATGCAAAGCCTATGGTTTCAATGTGTCAATCAAGAGATGGCCTGTTCATTGAGCCTTGGGTTGTTTTCCTTTGTTCATAGCTTCTGAAGGACACACATACAGCTAGTGGAATTTGCGGCTATTTGGGAAATCCTACTGCATCCTGCAGGTTGACTACTTCTGCCATTGTGGGATAATCTTCCAGAGGACATCGGGGCAGGGAAGAATTCATTGAAACCATTGCAACCAATACTTAAAAGCAACCTTCTTCACAAGA